ATGTGTTTTATCTACCCGTTGTGAGCCACCCAGATAAATGGCTATATAATTTGTTTTAAATAAACACATTGCATGTTTGCATGAACAACTAGCCTTCAAACTAAAAGAACTCATCCAATCAGATGTTCTAAAACCAATATGCAATGAATCCATACTGCAAGCCAAAGCAGCCCAAACTTGATGTAACTTGGTTAGACCAGTTCAAACATATAATACAAATCTTGGACTGTTCAGTTAATTCAAGATGCAGCAGCTAGATTGGTGTCTTGATCTGTTAAGAGAGACCATGTTATGTTTGTTCTTAAGCTGATATGCTTAAGAACATATTAGAGTTGGCTGAAATGCTTCCGTGTGAAATATAAAATACTGAGATGATACTTTTATTTGTGCTACCTCTATGTACACTAAAAGAGTCAGAAGAATTCCCAGGTATCTGTCAACAACTTTGGAACAAGTCTTCTAATTTTGTTGCCCTAAATTCAAGAATGGTTTTCTTGTAGCTTTCATCAATTGACTAATGAGAATTAGAAGCTGTTAGAGAATTTTAATTTCTCTATTGGTGAAAAATAAATCAGAAGCTCTCAAAGTTGACTGCATTTAGCTGATTCAAAATAACTTCTTTATATTCATATAAAAATATTTACAATACCATACATTCTTCTTTACAGCAACATAGCTCAATTGAAGACTTCTTACAGAGAGATACAGAGAAAAGCCTGAGACTGGAAATCCAGCTCCTAACTCAATACTCTTTTTGCACAGACTCAGTAGCATTTTCTTTACATTTGCTGACTGAGTTACCACATGACTCTTCCTGCTCATGAATATTCCAACACTCCTCCCTTCATGACAGGAAGAGACAGCAGACCTATTGACTTAACGCATTCTTTAATTGTGAAAAACCTTGTGCCACGAACCTGGCCTTATACTGTACATCATTATTTGGCAATACCTTTTTTCTTATATACCCACTTACAACCCACAGCTTTGGTTCCCTGTGGCAAAGTCACTAATTTAAATACTTCATGGTCTCCCATGGATTTCATCTCTTTATCCATGGCCTCCTTCCATCTTTCTTGTTCAGCTTTTGGTAATGCCAACACTTCTTTATAACTTCTTGGCTCATACCACACATTGCAAACCTTTACCTTGCTGGCAGAATACCTGTCAGGTGGAATTCCTTTGTTACATTGCTCTGACCTACGTGGTAATAACTGCTCCTGTGTCTCAAGTCTTTCTGGCTTCATGTCTCGTTCAGCCTCTCCTCCCTGAACATTGACATCTTCGATAATCAATTTTTTATCATTAGATGAGTTATTGTCATTAAATACATCACCGTCATTAAGTGAGACATACCCAGAATTTGCATTAATTCTGTCCCAATTTTGTTCTGCAAAATTAGCAGACCTTGAAATTACAATTCTTTTACTTCCATCGCTAAAGCAATATCCTTTTAACCCTGGATCATAGTCCACAAACCTGAGCTTTCTTGCCTTTTGCTGTCCCTTTCTTCTGATTGCTTTTGGAATATGTACCCATGCAGTACTTCCAAAAATTCTCAAATGTGCCAGTGATGGCTTTCTCCCATATAGAATGGCATATGGAGTATTATTAATGGAGGAACTCCACAGCCTGTTACCTATATAATTGGCAGTCAATATGGCTTCTCCCCAATATGACCAGCTCATACCAGAATCCTCTAATAATGAATCTTTCATTGTTTGCAAAACACCATTCCTTCTTTCAGCTACACTGTTCTCTGCTGCTGTGCAAGGATTTGTACGTCTGTGTCTTATCCCCAACTGCCCCAACCATTGTTGGAATTTAGTTGACATAAATTCAGTACCTCTGTCAGTTTGCAACTGACACACTGTTGTCTGTACCTTCTCTCTACAAAACTTACCCACTGTTTGAATTGTTGTAGCACCTCTGTCTTTGCTGTAAGCAAGTAGCAAAAGCTATACCTGCTATAATCATCAACAATTACCAGTACATATTTTGCTCCTCCCAAACTGGCTTACATAGGTCCCACCAGATCTGCATGGACCAGCTCTAGAACTCTTTTTGTTTGTCTTGTGCTACATTTACTAACTGGGAATGCCTTTGTCTTCGATGCTTTGCATACTGCACAGTCCAAATACATTTTGCATCCCTTCAAATTTAGCCCTTCTGCAAAATCTTGCATTTGCTGCAAAACTTTAAAGCTTGCATTGCCAAGTCTTCTATGTAGAAGATGAATGCATGAATCATGCTCTGCAACATTCTTAAATATATGGGAACATTGAACCTTTTGTCCCTGCAATACATATAGATTATCTTCCTTTATGCCTTCTGCACAAATATTCCCATTCCTTTTGATGAGACACTTCCCATTTACAAAAATGATCTCAAAACCTTGTTTGTCTAAATTAGACACACTTAACAAATTATGTTCCATTTCAGGTACACAAAGCACATTGGTAAACTTTGATTCCAAATATAGAATTTTTACATCGCCTTTTCCGATGACTTTTGCTTTCTGGCCATTTACCAAAGCCACAGCTTCTTGTGCTACTGGAACAAACCTGCAAAATAATTCAGGGTCATTAACAATTGTTTGACTTGCCCCACTATCTATTAGCCACTTGTCTCTGTTGTTGCTATAGCAAACCTTTGCAACACCAAAATGTTCCTTTTGCAAATCAGTCCTTTTTGGTTGCACAAATGTCCTTTGCTGCAAATTGTTCCTTTGCAAACAGTTCCTTTTCAGATTGTTGTTTGCTCCACAAATTTAGCAATTCTTTCTTGCTTAGCTCTCTGCCTGCAAAATGTTTCTTCTTCGGAGACTTGCAGTCTGGACCCCCTCCTTAGGAATTTCACTTCCTCGTGGCTGTTTCTAAAATGGCGATTTTCTTGTTCATTAAGCAAGCATGCCTTTAAAGCCTCAAAAATTTAATTCTTGCTCTTCTTTACACTCAAATATGGCAGAAACTGTGTCCCAGGTTTTATCTAAACTGTTCAACACCAATAAAACCTTCTGGGACTCAGGAAATTTAATCCCACGTTGTTCTAAGTCTAAAAATAAACTTTGCATTTTATTTAAATGCTGTTCCACAGATTCACCTGGTTGCAAACAGGCCCTGTAAAGTTTTCTTGACAATTGCACTATATTGCATGCAGAAACATTCATGTGCACAGCTCTCAACTTCAACCAAATCTCCTTTGCAGTCTTTAAATTTGCAACATTTAGAAATTGTTCATCATCTAAATTCAAGATGAGATAAGCCATTGCTTGATCATGACTCTTCTGATCAGCAGCTACAAACACTTGTGGTGGATTTTCTACAATATACCACAGCTCTTTTGCTTTCAGCAAACATTCCATTTTTGCAGCCCACACAATGTAATTCTTCTGGCCCAAACGAGGCACACAGCTTTCCTTAAATTTCATTGCAGCCATTCTGCTAATTCTGCCTTGTTCTTATACTTTCTAAACACAGGCAATTTCTTCCAGCTTTAAATTACAATGCAGTCCTTAGTAAGTTCTGGGCCCATAACCTGTTAGAGAATTTTAATTTCTCTATTGGTGAAAAATAAATCAGAAGCTCTCAAAGTTGACTGCATTTAGCTGATTCAAAATAACTTCTTTATATTCATATAAAAATATTTACAATACCATACATTCTTCTTTACAGCAACATAGCTCAATTGAAGACTTCTTACAGAGAGATACAGAGACAAGCCTGAGACTGGAAATCCAGTTCCTAACTCAATACTCTTTTTGCACAGACTCAGTAGCATTTTCTTCACATTTGCTGACTGAGTTACCACATGACTCTTCCTGCTCATGAATATTCCAACAGAAGCCCCCAGTTCCAATATTACTCTGGGCAAGCTACATTAGAAACAGAAAACACAAGAAAATAAAAGTCTAACTTCTTTAGAGATCTTTGAAAGAATGGAAAAGGCTCATATTTTTAATATTTTTAGTAATTGTATTTATTAGTTTTGAATGGTTTTAATGATAAAACATATAAGGAACAGTTGCTGGAATTGGGTATGTCTAGTTTAATGAAGAGAAGAACAAGGGGGGACATGATAGCAGTGTTCCAATATCTAAAGGGTTGCCACAAAGAAGAGGGAGTCATGCTATTCTCCAAAGCACCTGAAGGTAGGACAAGAAGCAACAGATGGAAACTAACCAAAGAGAGAAGCAACCTAGAACTAAGGGAAAACTTCTTGACAGTTAGAACAATTAACCAGTGGAACAACCTGCCTGCAAAAGTTGTGAATGCTCCATCACTGGAAGTTTTTAAGAAGAGACTGGACAGCCATTTGTCTGAAATGGTATAGGGTTTCCTGCCTGAGCAGGGGGTTGGAGTAGAAGACCTCCAAGGTCCCTTCCAACTTTTATTATTATTATTATTATTATTATTATTATTATTATTATTATTATTATTATTATATAATGTAAGTTTTATTATTATTTTAACTGCTTTCTTTAACACTTAAAGGCTTTCAATTTTTAATGCAAGCCATCCTGTGCAGAAATGAAGATGGAGATGGAAATGGAGACAGAGATAGTGATATATCTGCAAAAAAAATTGAATACTTCTAACATGAATACATCTTGAGATCTCCCCCTGTCTTAATATAATGAGTCAATTTCTTTATTATGGTCTTCAACTAGAAAGTCTTAGAAAAGCAGTCTGTAAAATGGAAAAATCAAAAACTAACAATGAGGAAATGAAATAGGAGATAAACTAGCAATAAAGGAGTAGAACTAAGACAAAACAATAAAATCTCAACTATATTCCTTTGTATGCCTTAGAGTATTCTGCAACATTTAAAGAGATTGTGTTATTCTACTCAAATTATAAATAACAAAGATAAAAAAAAATTGGTGGGGTGTGGATGTGCTGTCTCCATTCCCATATGAAGTTGGCAACTTCCAGGAGATAAAGCACATTATCTCTTGTTCTATCATTATGCTATGCATTGAAAACAAAATAGACACACACTTTTTGACAGATTAAAAGTAAATTTGCAACAGATCTTTATTGCTAAATCCGTTTTGATTACAACACATATAAATTGCACAATTTAATACCAATGAAATAAATACCGTACCAATGGTTTTCAAATTGACAAACTCTGTGTGGACTTCAACTAGCTGGGGAATTCTGGAAATTGAAGTCCACACATCTTATTTGGACAAGTTTGAAAAACATTGACTTTGTACTTTATTAAGAAAACAATCATGAAAATAAAAATAATGTTTTGATGCTCACAAAATTGACCACATCATTTTGATTTTATCACCCATGAAACCTCAGCAACAGGATTTAGTGCAGTCTATTCTTTTGCATAAGCTTATTGGCTGATGTAAGCTTGATGTTACTTGAAATTGTAAATGGAATTGCATTTATCACAATGAATTGGCCCCATGGGTTGGGGCTTTTCTAACAATTTCAGATGTAATGAGCTAGGAATCCTTCTTTAATATGTGTTCTATGTTGAGGAACTTTAATCTTCTTACTATGTCTAATGGAGTCTCTCCATCCTGAAATAAAGAGATAAAATGAACAAAAGTGAAAATAAAGAATGAAGAAAGCATGAACATATGTAAAATCTAACTTAACCAATTTTAGACATTTGAAAGAATACTATGCCCAGAAGCTTTTTTTCTCTCTTTCTTTCCCTTTCTTTCTTTCTTTCTTTCTTTCTTTCTTTCTTTCTTTCTTTCTTTCTTTCTTTCTTTCTTTCTTTCTTTCTTCTCCCATCTAACCACAAAGTAGCTTACAATCATGAATGGTAAATATAAATATAATAAAACATAAATAATTTAAAACAAGCTAAACTATGATCCAATTAAAGATGGGGAAGACTGGGGCACGTGGGGGGAAGTGGCACCTGTTGTTAATCGAATATCCACCTCCATTGTGGTTACATAATTGTGTTAATCATTGGAACTTTCCTCTATTTGCTTCAAAGTTTTGATGAATCTTTCTGGTGTAAATTTCAGAAGGTCATGGAAGGCTTTATTTGAGAAATGTTGGAATAGTCCAGATAGTCTGAAACTAGTGGCAAATAACAATTCATATAGGATTATTACTTGAAGCTAATCTCTTCAATGTTAGGTCAAAATAAAAGAAATTTGATTAAAAGGTGAGTGATGATCTCTACAAAAAATGACTGCGTCTTATCGGTAAGAAATAAAATTCCTTGCCTAATGATTGACTTTCACACAGAGGAAACATCTGAATATTTTATGATATTATTTTATTTTTTCCTGTGCATATATATGCGTTTCTAAAACACCACTTACTTCTGCTAAGCTACCGCTAAACCATGTTATTCTCCTTATGGGAAACTTAAAATGATCTATGACCAGCATTGGTAGCTAGGATTGCTAACTTTAACCTTCATGGCAAATGACTTTGAGTGTTCTAGTCAAAAAGCTTCAGGGAAAATACTAGATTGCCTATGCTTTATTTATAGTAAGTAGATAAATCTAATTTTTAAAATATTTATGGATGTTGTATAGCTAATTTTAATTCCTTTTTACCATTTCTTTCCACCTTTTTGCTTGTTTTTCTTGCTACTCTCCATGTTGACTTTTTTCATGTGTCTTTAAACATCAGCCATTTCTGGACAATATAACTTGGATCAAAATCTCCAAATGTAATTACTTACAATACATCATTACATATATTCACAATGCCCATCTCCAATTCTCAGCATAGGGCTTCTGCATTGTCTAAGAGATGCTTCTGTCATCATGTGGCCCACATGAAAGTATAGAACACAGAAACCTTTCTCATCAAAATGGTACCTATTTATCTATTTGCATTTGCATGCTTTTGAACTGTTAAGTTGGCCTGAGCTGGGGTGAATAAGTCTTGATCCCTGGCTGTCAGCTTTCCAGCTGACAAGCCCAAGCAACCATCTTAACTGTTCTTCCTCTGGTAGAAAAGAAACCCACACATTTTTTTTTCTTTTCTAAAATAAAAATAGATTCCTCTTTCTTAGTAGAGGAATAGTCCAAATCACAGGATGAGCTAGAAATCAAAATTAAAACAAGATTAGTTTTCCATACCTTGTCCTTTATGGAAATGTCAGCACCTGCTTCAATTAATAATGGAATGATGGACTGGTTTTTCATTTCACAAGCGTAGTGTAGGGCAGTCCGTCCTAACTAGAGAAAAATCATAGTACATATTCTTCAGGAATAAATTGCACTCTTACCCTAATATACTTCTCAGTAAATATAAAATTTAAAAAAGGACTGTACAAGTTCTTACATGCAAGCTCTTGAATTATGATATACTTAAACATGTGTCTATTGTTTCATCCACTGTAGATTGGCTATTGATGTATAGCTGGCATCTCTATGCTATTTTACTGCAAAATGGTTCCATAAATAAAATGTTAAATTAAAACATAAATTAAGAACATCAAAACAAAAGAGTCAAAATATATGTTATATAATTTAAACAGTCTACATTGGGTTGCCACAGTGAAAATAGAATTTACCATCTTTTTCAAATTACACATTAAATTGTAAACAAGGATGAATTCACATGACATCCGAACTGTTTTTGAATAAGTTAGTTCACTTTGTATTATTTTCTGCAAGACTTTCCTTAACTGCCTTGAGATTTGTACAAACATCTTATTCCATCACAGCCCTGAAGCAGAGTACAATATTGTACCAGAACAGCACACTAAAAGGTCCAATCCTATATTATTTCCAACATACAGACTGAAATAAAAATAAGGTTTGACCCTGATCTGAACAATTCCTCTTTTCATTATTGTATGGTTTTAATTAGAAAATTGGAGTAGATAAAGCCACAAAGTTTTAGCAGAAGTAAATCATACTTGTTCAGGAGACACGATTGTTTGCTAAAGGGCTGAATTCTTCATGGCCTCTTCTGTATGTTTTGTTTGGGGTTTTAATGATGAACAAGCTATTACAATTTTTTTCAAGAATAGTACCTGCAACCTAATTATATGGCTAGGTAGTAGATTTCTGCAATATTTGGAACACATCCTCATTCTGCCTGATTGAGAAAACATGTTAAAGTATCCTACTGCCTATGAAACTGTTAAAATATAAATCTAATAGCACTTTCCACACAACTACCATCCTCATACCCCAAACCTTCTGCAGTAATTTTGTAATGCTGCACTAGTAACCTGATTGATATGCTTCTCTGACACTGAATCCCTCAGTTGATAAGTGGAATGGCACAACTGGCAGCCAGCCATCTGGATCCCTTGTTGCTTTGTTTTTGTTGGTGAGGAAAAGCAACCAAAAATAACAGCTGAACAATGGGCCTCGGAAATGGCGAAGTTGGAGAGAGTCTGAAAGGCTGGCAAAGTGCAATATTTCAGTCTAATTGACCCTGATTGATCTCATCTAAGTTGGCTGGCTTGGGTCCCAGACAGAAGGAATCAATTGCCACCACTTTTTCTCCTTATAGGGGAAAGAGTGCATTTCTCAATACCATGGGGGGGAGGAACAGTCATGTTCTTCCTCATCCTTAGGAAAATGATTTTTATGCATCACATCCAGCTACCACCCAAACTGTAATCCAGATACAGTTAAAGGATATGAATAGATGCACTTACATCATCTTGAGCATTAACATATGCACCAGCTCTAAGTAGCATCTTGATGAGGTGTTCGTTCTGCTTACTTTTAGAAATCTGTTTAGCAGATTTTATGGGTGAGAAAGGAAAAAATGGAACATTATTGGAAAATGGATAATATTGTCATATTAGGCAGTCAGCTAATAAAGACTTTCTCTTATACATTCATCCAAATCCTTCTAAGAATATATATGTGCTCTTAAATTTCCCAATACCAAACATTCTCAAAAACTAATTAGGAAATCTGATTAGCTGCCTCTCAGGGTCTGGATTATGGATTATGCTAAGTGTGTTTTGATTTTTCATAATGTTTGCAGGATCACAGGGTGAGTGATGGAATAGCTCACTCTGACTATGAATTGGGAAACTGCAGTTGAGTGCATGTTGAGTAACCATATTGAGCATAATCATTGTAGAAAACTTATGTGCCACTTACCCAAGAGATGTACTTTAATACTTAGACAATTGAACAGTGGCCAGGAAGCAGCATTTAAGTCTTGGCTAACTCCATTTTTAGGAACTCAGAAATTATTAGAGGAAGAAAAGGATCATAGGAATGATACAGATGAGTTGCTAAATGACTGTTTCTAGCTTGGTGTCTTCTAGATATTGTAATTTCCCACATAGCTAGAAAGTCACTGTCATAGCACATCTAGAACACATCAAGTTGAAAGATAATGGTAATTAATCATCTCTTTAAATACTAATGCAGGAAAAACTCTTTAAGGCAGTGGTGGTGAACCTATGGCACGGGTGCCAGAGGCGGCACTCAGAGTGCTCTCTGTGGGCACGCACACCATCGCCCCAGTCCTAGGCCTTCAGCTGGGTTTTATAAAACCTTTTCTCTTTAGACCTCCGCTGCCATGTACAAAAAAAAAAAGGTTCAATCAATCAGTCAATTTCAACTTCTCCTGGGGAAAAAAAAGATCTTGCAAAGTTGGAATTGATTGATTGAACTTTTTAGTCCCACCCAGTCTGCCGTTACCACCGCAGCCACACCCAGCCAATTGGCCATGCCCAGCCAATGAGCCACACCCAGCCAATGGGCCACACCCACCCGGCACCCAACAATGCATAAGTAGGTTTGGGGTTGCAGTTTGGGCACTCAGTCTCTAAAAGGTTCACCATTACTGCTTTAAGGGATACATGACCCTTACGGACAAAAATTAAAAGTGTTCCGTACAAATTAGAATTAAAAGTGCTCCTGTAATCAGAAAATATTAGAATGTGTAAACCTTTGATGGGGTTTTTTTGCTTCAAAGAAGATCTGAGCAAAACATCTTCCTGAATCTGCTATGTGGCAATATGACCCGTCACTTGCTTTGCTTTGCCCTTCCAGTTGGAGGACAGTTTCTGTGCACAGAGCATAGAACATAGAATCATAGGATTGGAAGAGTCCTCGGCGGCTTCTAGTCCAGCCTCCTACATGTAGCAGGAAATATACCTTTCTGGACAAATGGCTGTCCTGTCTCCTGTGATGGAGGACAGCTTTCAGAGGCAAGCTGTTTCATTGATTAATTGTTCTCACTCTTAGAAAACCTCTTAGTACTAGGTTGGTCTGCCCTTGATTAATTTTCATCCATTGCTTCTTGTTCTGCCCTCAAGTGCTTTGGTGAATAAGTTGACTCCTTCTTGTTTGTGATAGCCCCTCAAGTATTGGAAAACTGCATCATATCACCCCTAGTCCTTCTCATTAGACTAGAGGCCAGGGGTAGGCAACCTTGGCTCTTTTATAACTCATGGACTTCAACTCACAGAATTCTTGAGCCAGCATGGGAGTTGAAGTCCACAAGTCATAAAAGAGCCAAGGTTGCCTACCCTGTCACTAGACACATCTAGTTCCCTCAATCATTCATTGTATGGCTTATCCTTCAGACCCTTATCATCTTTGTTGGTCTTCTCTGCATGCCCAGGAGCCTCTTCTGCTTTTAGAGAGAGCTGGCTAATGCTAAGAAGATGTTCTGAGGAAGTTCTAAATTTTCTGGCACTTAAAAAGGCCTGTGGAAATATGCAGCTCCTACAAAAGCCTTTTTCAGGTTTTGCTAGAGACGGAAGTAAGAGACAAGAGACCTTAGGGAGGGTTGCATGGCAGATTTTACCAAGCAGAGAAGATTGTAACCAGTAGGGCAAGATCACTAGAATCCAATATCTTACAATAAGAAAAATTAGAAAGTCATTATCAAGAATCCCTGCAACTATTGGGTTTCAAAAGGAAGCTATATAAAGAAAAAAAACCAACCTCCTAGAAAAACCTCTTACTCATTTTCGTCCTACGTATCAGATTATTTAGCCCTGTCTTTTGAGTGGACTGGCTTGTTCTTTGCTTTTTCAATGGTCAGATATGTTGTCATATAATTTTTCAGTACAGGTAGTCCTCAACTTTCATCAGTTTGTTTAGTGACCATTTGAAGTTACAACAGTGCTGAAAAAAAGTAACATGCCCATTTTTCACACTTATGATCTTTGCAACATCTCCATGGTCATGTGAATGAAATTCAGATGCTTTGCAACTGACTCGTATTTATGACAGTTGCAGTGTCCCAGGATCATGTGATCCCCTTGTGCGAACTTCTGACAAGCAAAGTCAATGGGGAAGTCAGATTAATTTAATTAATTTAATAACTGTGTTACTAACTTAAGAACAATAATGTCAAGAAAGGTTGTAAAATGGGGCAAAATTCACTTAACAACTGTCTCACTTAGCAACAGAAATGTTGGGCTCAGTTGTCGTGGTAAGTTGAGGACTACCTGTATTGGGTAAGGACTATTTTTCACATGGAAATGATATGAAGTGTTTCATTGAAACAAATCACAACTACCTCTTTGCATCAGGAAAGAGAATTATAGTTTCCCTAGAGCCCAGAACTCCTTGCTGAGTTAATTCTAAACCTAAAACATGTAACTACAACAACTATGATTAGATGGTTGAAAGAACAGGGGATAAGGATATAATCATAGGCATCATTTGATACTTGCTTGACCTGGAACTTACCATTAGAAGATATCCCAGTAGCATAACAGGCATTAAAAGTATGATGAGCAAGTAATCAAGGAAACCAAATCGTTTTTTGACAGCATAGTGCAAACAGGTTCTTTTTTTCTAGAGAGAGAAAGGGGAGAGTTTTAGGCAGTTTCTCATTCCATCTACCATAACAATTATTTGTGAATTGTTTGATATCAGTTTGGAAAGGTTTTTTATGCTTTCCCATTGCAGAAATTATCTTGGGGATATTCTCAGTTCCAGGAGAGTTACCCACAGTTAAAAGGAAAGAAAGAAGTGCCTCGTTGAGAAAGTAATAATGAATAATGAGTCAAGGAAAGACTAGAACCTACCTAAATTGTTATCAACCTGCAGCCTTCTTTTTTTCCTAATTTACACATGAATAATGTATAAATTATAATTTGTATGTATTTGAGGACCTGGATAGTTTATTCAGAGAAGTGCAATCTATCATGTGTCCTATTGATCCTTACCCAACATGGCTTGTATCTATTTATCAGAAAGCTTTGGGAGTTGGCCTAATAAACTTTATTAATAACTCCCTAAGGGAGGGGAAGTTTCATCTTTTTTAAAACTATCTTCAAGAAGTCCTCACTTAATCTCTTAAATAATGTACGGTAATTAAGGTCTGCTTCTAAAGTTTCATGCTTTTCAAAGCAATCAAAGGTGGTGGCTCCTTAGTTTCAGGCAGTGCTAGATGAAATCAATTGTGTCATGTGTCTGACTAATGAAACACTTCAAAGAACTTTCAGGCATGGTTTAACCTAAAAAAGCCTTTATTAGTGTAGAGGCGTGTCAGCACAGCATGATGGATGCCAAGATCTGAATTTCCCTTCCTTTGAACATAACATTCCAGGCATTTCCCCTCCCCTATTTTGGGGTCATGATTCACATCTTCCAATTAACCTGGAGGGCAAAGATTCACTTCCGTTCCCTTTTGCGGGCTTTTCTCTCCTCCCTCATTCTCATCTGAATTAACTCTAAAAGTACCAGACAGTTCTGCATATTTGTCAAAGCAAGAATATTCAATATTAGTAGCGTTGACAAATTGTATTTCAAATTAGTTTTAGGGAAGGCAGTGGGATTCAGTGTCAACTGTCCAGTTAGTGGATCCAGAAAAAGAAACTCCTGGGACATTATTTTACCAAGAGTATAAATTTTAGTAAATAAACCATATTGGCACAGACGAAGTAAAACCAGCTCTGGGTTTCCCATGCAAAAGCTAGCATAGTTAATTCCACCCTTTCCCTATGGGCTACCTACAGTCAATTACATCCACCAATCACTTCTGTTCATTTTGTCATGGGAACTGCCCAGCCCTGCTAGAACACCTGGTTGATGTGTCCTTAGGTTGGAGCACTGTCTCACAGGAACTGGTGATGCTCAGATGCAATCCCCCCACCCTTTCATTCCATCTCACCTCTTCCCCTTTTCTTTGTCAAGCTGTGAGTGAAGTAGAATATAGGTGAAAGGGCGAGTCAATCCTGACATTCAGGTTGTCTTAATCATCTTGGAGGGAGAGAGAAAGAAAGATTGTGACTATGTTGACCCTCCTAGCAATACCACTGACTATGATATCCACTTGGCACTTTTTGAAACTAGGGGCATTATTCTGCAATGGTTTTACTTCTATCTTTCAGGAAGGATCTACATGGCGTCACTTGGGAAGTTAAGGCTATTGTCAGATCAAACCGCTTCACCCTGCTTTGCTTCACTTTGATGGCAGCCTATAAAATGTGGTGAGGGGGAATAGGAAGGTAGGGAGGAGGGAATGACAGAATCCAGAGATGCCATCCAGAGACAATATTTGAAAGATCCAAGGACACAAGCCTGGGAATGGAATATGAAATTCCCATTCAAAGAGGTGCCAAAATGTGGAACTCTTACCCAGACATCTAACTGGAACTTAAGAGCACAATGGTTAGAATACAGTATTGCAAGCTACTTCTGCCAACTGCCGACAGTTCAATTCTCACCAGCTCAAGGTTGACTCAGCCTTCCATCTTTCCAAAGTAGGTAAAATGGGGACCCAGATTGTTGGGGGCCATTTATGCTGACTCTGTAAAGTGCTTAGACAAGGCTATAAAGCACTGTGAAGTGATATATAAGTCTAAGTGCTATTGCTATTGGATACAAGCAAGGTGACCAAGGGGAGAGGGCCTGGGAGAAGGGAAAATTACCAGGTTTACAAGGGAAATCCTCAGAGCTGGCTTTGCTATGTTGTAACCACTTGGCTTCAGTAAAAAAAAACATCCCTTTCACTACAAATGGAGTCGAGGGTCTTTCTTTACTGAATATCCAAGCTGGGACAAGCCTGACAACTATTTTCTTCCTGATATTTTGAAACATACAGTATATATGAAACTGCTGGAGACAACATCAGAGATTTGAGCCAAGTGCTATGATAACATTCAAAACAACGTCTCTTTCCCAGCACCATCAGGCAGTAATGTGACTCGGAAACTATTACACAAACAGTTTTTATAACAGACTGGATGAGGGGCAATAAAATGGATCTAGAAAGGATGAAGGTTTTATTTATTTATATTTATTTATTTATATTTCATATTTCTTAACCGCCCATCTCCCTCAGACATCTATTTACTTATTTATTTTTATCCCACCTTTATCACTTTTATTAGTCCTAATTCTGTGTTTGCCATATATTTGCCCTTTCTCAATGGGATCACACTCTCTTAAAAGATCATATATACACTTGGGCAGTAATTCTGAATCTAGATCTCTCCTAATCCCCCAGGAGGCAAAAGACTCATTGACTGATAGCTGCATCCATTCCTAGATACAACTGGCTTTAAAAAAAGTAGTGCATTGACAGATAATTCCCAAGCTTTAATTCTCTAAAATGTGCTACATATGGCTGCCCTTACGTGTGCTTGGAACGTCAGCTGATACATAGTGTTTGCATAGATTGGTCTCCATGTTGCAGCAATTTTGATTACTTTATGTAGTAATGCCTTTTAATTTGTTTCCCGGAGCAGGACAAAGAGTTCTTATCTGTAAAGCCTCAAATGATTTGAGCCCAGAACCTCTGAAAAATCCCTTCTCCTTGCAGATTAGATCCCACCCACTTAGATCCCACAAAGCTTATTTCCAACACGTCACCAGAACCACAGTTTTCCCGTGGTTACTCCACATTCATGGAGTATACAAATATTACCTCAACCTTTAAGGGGGCTTTATAAATGCATCTCTTATAAATTTTAAATCATTTCCTATCTTTGTGATCTGTCTTAATGCATAACTTTAAATAATTCTTAGAAGCAAAAGCCCTCTGCCAATTCCTGGAATTTTACTAAAACATTTTGATGGCATAACTAAAGGGAGTTCTGTAGGATAAAAATTTATGTATTTATTTATAAAATGTATTGGCCATCCATCTAACTATAGAATAACTCTGGATGGCTTACAGTCCTAAAAATATGTCTATACATATACATTAAAACATAAGTCAATTAAAATCAAACATTAAAATCTAAGGACACATGGGGAGAGCAGGGAGTAGAGTGGGAAGAGATGGAATCTATTGTTACTTAATCAACCACCTCCATTGCACTGTTCCCTTACTGGAGCTCCAGGCCAACTGGCAGAGCCTGGTCTTTAGGCCCTTATGTAAGGATAAGAGGGCTGGGGCCAACCTCACATGGAGGGCCCAAGATATTCTATTGGGCAGGAGCAACAGCAAAGAAGGCCCTCCTTCTGAGCCCATCAGTCAGAATAATTGGACTGACAGGACCCACAGCATGCCTCCTCTGGCAGAACAAGTGGTTTAGGCCAATTCCAGTGGGGTGAGAAGGTCCCTCAAGTAAACTGGCCCCATGCTGTCAGAGGAAAAACTTGTTCAAATGAGACAAGAGACAACACACAATAGAAGTCTCACTTTAGGATCCAGAGTTTGTTTAAATTTAACATAGAAATTCAGTACTTACATTTCAACAACTCATTGCAATGAGGACCAGCTTTGGACTAGCAGTCACAACAGTGACGGTTAGTGGCCAAGTGGCCTCGAACCCCTGTCAGGCCAATCTTTTATACCTGAACTTTTCTTAAAACCACAAAGAGATGGCTGAAAATCTTGCAATATCAAGGAATCAATTCCTTGTACTTTTCTGCTGGCCACTGCTTTCCATATACCAACTTTCCACATGCATCTGAAACTCGCATCTGCTCGCATCACTTCCCTATTTCCCACAAATTCAGCCTGTATGTTCTAAATATACACATAACACAGGCAATGCTGCAATATTGATTAAAAAAAAGCTATAGCTTAAGCTGCAAATATTTCCCTTGAACTGTGAAATTGGCTACAGCACAAATTTTGGTTCAGTTACTTTTTCATGAGGCCTGATTTGGCTCACCTAGGCCTAACCTTGCATAGAAGGACTATAGCATAAAATTTCTCCTTTCACAATGCCATGAAGGGCTTTAAAGATGATCACCAGCACCTTGAATTGCACCTGGGAGCAGACTGGCAACCAGTGGAGCAATGGTGTTATAAGGGCCCATTCTTGGGGCGCCAAAAATTGCTTCCACTGCCACACTCTGCACCAGCTATAACATCTGAATGTTCTTCATGGTAGCCCCACATAGAGCGCATTACAACAGTCCAACAAATAAGGTACTATGGATTCTATCTAGTGCACAAAACCATTCATATCCAAAAGACAGGTAATGTACGAAATAAAATAAATAAAATGAAAATAAATAGTTTCAGGCGCCACTTCCAGACAAGACATCATGATAACCTGCATGTAAGTACAACATTTAGTAGCACTGGTTGTGACATTTTAGCCCCATTTCCCAGAAACATTCATAAGAAAGGAATAATAAAGGTGACTTCCAGTTTGGCAATGCAGCCGCGGCAGATGCTGAAAAGCAAGCTCCATCTTCCATGTCTATTTTCGCACCACTGGGGAACCCTGGAAAGGGTCAAAAGTCACCCTGTAGGGGTGACGAACAATGAGGGGAGCCCTGCTTGATCGTGGGAGGGCAGTAACCCTTCTGCTCAATCCAGGGCAGCCCTCCAAACCGGTGGACAAAAGACCGGCCATAGAAATATGGCCTGTCACTAGGCTGGAGAT